TGGGCAATAAGCACTGTCCAAACACACATGGGCACATGCCAAAGCATGCATACACATCACTGTAGTGGTGTGAAGACACAGGACCAGACACCACACATACAAGTATGCTCTACTCATAGTCCTTAAAGCTTGTAATCTGGAGAATGGGGATTCGGGGCAGGGTTCTCGAAAGGCATCCAAAGGGAAGCTTTTAGACTCTATCAAATCAAATCAAATCATCTGTTACAAAACACATGGACGGGTGCTGAGAGGCACAGGCAGAGGAAGCCAGGAACAAAAGCTCCCCTGCTGCACAAAGGCACAGGGATCCAGTGAGTGACTGAGTGAGGTTTGTACTTCACCCCAGGAGTGTGGCAGCTTAGCCTCAGGACAGCACATAGGAGGGCATATCGTAATTATCATCCAGAAAAGCCTGGATGAGACAAATGCAATTTCCTTGTGCTTTTTCTACATTTAGGATGTTATACATGCTTCCTCTGTATTCATTTACTCTTATTTTGTACGCAACGCTAACCGTCTATGAGATCTAATTTCTCAGTCCATAGACAAATACACAGAGTCCCTGAATTATAATTAATTGAGTTATGACAAACCACACTTACTACTGTCATTTTGTTTTGTTTTGTAAATATTACTGTTAGTACCATGCACTGAATACAATGCGTTGTTTTGTTGTTAAGTGCCATCAAATTGGTTCAACTCATAGTAACCCTGTATAGGGTTTCCAAGGAGTGTCTGGTGGCTTTGAACTGCTGATCTTGAAGTTCAACCAGCTCTGCAGTCCAGTGCTTATCCTACAGCGCTACACATACCAGGACTCCACATACAAAGTTGTTGCTGTTAAGTGCCGTCGAGTTGGTTACGACCCATAGCAACCCTGTATAGGGTTTCTGATGAGCGAAAGTGGGCTTGAACTATTGACCTTGCAGTTCAAAACAACCTTGTAGTCCAGCGCATTTTCCTGCAGTGCCACCCCAGAACTCCATATACAATGTGATGGTGGTGGTTACGTGCCGTGGAGTCAGTTCCTACTCATAGTGACCCTGCATAGAGTTTTTGAGACTGTGAACCTTTGGCGGTGGTGGTAGTGGTGTGCCATGGAGTCGGTACCAACTCATAGCGACCCTGTACAATGTTTCCAAGGCTGCAACTCTTTACAGGAGTAGAAAGCCTCATCTTACTCCCACAGAACAGCTGGTAGTTTCAAACTGCTGACTTTGAAGTTAGCAGCACAATTTGTAACCACTGTAGCAGCATATAATTGGCTGATATTATTATCAGATGTTCACTCATATATGTTTAAAGATTGGATTATAAAATACTGATAATAAAAGGCAGTAATACTGTAAATGAAAAAAAGAAGCTATTTGACTTATATAAGAACAGACCTCTGACAGCCATCTGAACAAAGCCCCACCACACATTGGGGACCATCTGCATAAGCAAAAACTTGTAAATGGGTCAGGAGGGGCTGCAGGAGACTGGACTGCTAATTTCAAGGTCAGTAGTTCAAACCCACCAGCTGCTTCTTGGAGGAAACCCTATAGACACGGTCGCTATCGGAACCAGTTGACAGTACTTAACAACAACAAGTGCTATGTAAATAAATATCTAATAAAAGTTGACACACAAAAAAACAAAACTCAAAAAGACATTAAAAAAATTTTTTTTTTCTTTTTAATTGCCTTCCGGTTGATTTTGACTCAACTTCATATGTGTCAGAGTAGATCCCTGCTCCTCTGGATTTTCAATGGCTAAGCTTTTCCCCCCACAGAACCACCAGGTTTTTCTGCTAACAAGTTAATAGTCTGCACTACTCAAGGAATCCAAAGATGACAAAAAGCAACCGTGTAAACCATGAGGACTGATGATATACAGTCCAATGTTGTCAAAATAATATTCTGGCCAGCAATCATTATAAGTCAAATTACATTTCATATTTTTAGTTTGAGAACGACACTATTACATTTTATCAATATTTTTCATCTGTATGTTTTTTTGTTGTTGTTTTTCAATTTTATGGACTTGACATTTAAGAGTTTAGTTTCTATTTTGTAGAAAAGTCATTAATCAAGCCCACCTGTCCATGAGAGCAGGTACATATGGCACTGCTTTACTAAATATATTGTATTCTAATTTGCCTGACAGTCGAGCATTTGGAAAGCTCTGTTAATTAGGTCCACAGCTTCAGGATATCAATTCAGCCAAAGTTAAGTGGGCATCTGCAAAGTGTCAACCACTGTCTTACGCGGTACAGATAAAAAGAGAAATAAGAACCAAGTACTTCTTTGAAGGTCACTCTTTAACTTGGGAATTCTGAAATGCCTTCTGAATAGTCAATATGGAGGGGTGTTCTATTCCTTAAGGTTTGAGAGGGAGGTACATTTTGTAAAAAAAAAAGTGGAATTCTTTGAAAAGTGATTGCACATAATAACAACAACATGATACAGTTGGGGATAAGTTGATATCTGAGTATTTGAATAGTTGAGTTCACCTGGAGAGGAAGTCCCTGGGTGGTGCAAGTAGTTAAGTACTCAACTATAAACCAGAGGCTCCTAGGAAGAAAGGCCTGGCAATATGATTCTGAAAGGTCATAACTTTGAAAACCCAATGGTGGGCTGCCATGGGTCGGAGTTGACCCAACAACAACTAAGTAACAACATCAATATGCTTGGGGACCCCAAAGAACTAGAATAAACCAATTATTATCAAGCAATTCTTACTCATGGCAAACCCATGTGTGCAGAATAGAAGTGCTCCATAGGATTTTCAATGGCTGATTTTTGGAAGACTACGAAGTCTTTCTTCCAGTCAAAAGGAAAGTACTATATAGTAATCTGAATCCCTCCCCATTTCATAGTCAGAAGAATAAACAGCATCCATCTGTCTTTAACAACCTCCTTGATATGAGAAAGAGAGGGAATAGAAAATGTCACTTTTCTGCCCTTGCCCAAAGCATATTGTTAGTAGATCTGGACAAAGTACATAAATATAGACTCTCTCATGGCCTACCTGTGTTGGAATGCATAGAACCAAGAGAATGTGGATGACCTGAATCCACCCTACCTATGTTAGTCCTGAAAGAGGTGGGAGACCAAGATGTTCACCTGTGTTTTATTGAGTAGGCAAAGGCTTTCGATTATGTGGATCATGACATGCTATGGACAACTTGCAAAATAGAGTATTCCAGAACAATTCATTGTGCTCATGAGGAACCTGTACATAAACAAAGAGGCATTTGTTTGAACAGAACTAGGGGACACCAAATGGTTTAAAATGAGGAAAGATTGTATTCTTTGATCATACTTATTCAATCTGTATGCTGAAAAAATAATCTGAGAAGCTGTATTATTTGAAGAAAAATGTGGCTTCAGGATTGGAGGAAGATTCATTAACAACCTGCAATATGCAAATGCTACAACCTTGCTTGCTGAAAGTGAAGAGGACTTAAAATACTTACTGATGAAGATCAAAGACAGCAGCCTTCTGTCTGTGTCGCATCTCAATGTAAAGAAAACAAAAATCCACCACTGGACAAATAAATAACATCCATGTAAATGAAGAAAATACTGAAGTTGTCAAAGACTCCATCTTGCTCAGATCACCCATCAACACTCATGTAAGCAGCAGTCAAGAAATCAAATGATGTATTGCATTGGACAAATATGCTGCACAAGACTTCTTTAAAGTGTTGAAAAGCAAAGATGTCAGTTTGAGAACTAATGTTTGCCTAACCCAAGCCATGGTATTTTCAATAACCTCATATGTATGCGAGAGCTGGACAGTAAATAAGGAAGACTGTACAAGAATTGATGCTTTTGAGTTATGGTAGTGGAGGAGAATATTGAAAGTGCCATGGGCTACCAAAAGAACCAATAGATCTGTGTTGGAGGACATACCATCAGAGGAGCGCTCCTTGGAGGCCAGGATGGCCAGATTTCGTCTCTCATACTTTGGACATATTGTCAGAAGGGACCAGTCACTGGAGAAGGATATCTTGTTTGGTAAAGTGGAGGGTCAGAGAAAAAGAGGAAGACCCCCAATGAGATGGGTTGGCACAGTGACAGCAGCAATGGACTCAGGCGTAGCAACGATTGTGAAGTTGCCCAGGACTGGGCAGTGTTTCGTTTTGTCATTCATAGGGTCACTATGAGTTGGTACCAAGTTGATGGCACCTATGAACAACATCATAGACTAAAAAGATGAGAAGACAGTTTCCTCCAGCAGAAGCAGCAGGGTTGAAAGACATCATTTCCCTCAAAGGTTGATGCTTAGATGGAGGCAGATGTTGGTGGCTCTCTCAATCACTTGCATTACCTCCCTGCTCTTCCCTCCCACCATAGCACTTGGGCCACAATAAAACTTAGACTTGTAGTGGTAGAATCTACATTTAGGAGAGTCTGAGAGAACAGCCTGAGAAGAAAAGACCCTTCTCCAAAGATAATTAGCTCTTTCTAGTGGTGAACCTGAGGGGAGGGAGTACAGGAAACAGGATAAAACAAAGGGATTTCCTTGACTCTTTGGATATCTAACAATTGACATGTTCAGCTGCTTTCTCCCTGGAAAATTTACATCAGAATTTCAGTTGTTTCCTATGGTGACTGGTTTACTTCTTTCCCTAATAATGTTTATCTTAGCAAAGACAGGAAGAAAGGAAAGGAGGAGAAGAGGAGACAGATGAATAGAGGAAAACTAAAGAAATAAAGGAAATATGAGAGGGAGGAAATAAAGGGAGAAGGAAATGAAGAGAGGGATGGAAGTAAGTGAGAAACATGGAAAGAGGAATGAGACACAAAAAGAAAGAAGGAAGTGAAGGAGGAAGGAAGGCAGATGAAAGAAAGATACATCAATGAAAGCAGATATAGTACAGTTTCCGTCTCTGAACAACTATTACAGTAATAAGCAGCATCTTCGCAGCATAAGAAAAATCCAACCTGGAGCTCTGGCAGGACCTCTTTCTTCATTAGCCCTGAACTCAGTCAACCCAACTTCTCACTCACCTTCACTGAAGACAAAATCAGAGATGATATCAAAGGGCTGGATGTGGACTGCTGATAGGATCATGGTGACTGTCTTCTGTGGGTCACTGGAGGCCAGTGAAATGGTCTGCTGGGCTTGACACTCATAGGATCTCCCAGCTGGGGTGACCAAGGCAGAGAGGTGATGTGAGTTGGCTGTGTGCTTCCCAGCTGCAGACAGACCAAAGTCATGGTTAGGTCCCTGGAGCCAGTAATAGCCTGGCTGCTCCTCAACCTACCTTCTGGCTCTTGCTCCTCACCTCCAGACACCACTGCTCTCCTCTGTGCTGCCTTGCAGAGTCTAGGGAGTTGCAAACCCAGAGTGGGGGTGAAAGAAAACCTTCCCTTTCTCTCCTGAGCATGGGCTTTTCAAATGTTAAATTTTAACTTCTTTTTTGGAGAAGTAGTTGTTGTTGTTGTTGTTGTTGTTATGTGCCGTGGAGTTGATAGCAACCATGTACAGGGTTTCCGAGGTTGTAAATCTTTATGGGAGCAGAAAGCCTCATCTTTCTCCCACAGAACAGCTGGTAGTTTCGATCTGCTGACCTTGCAGTTCACATTCCGATTCATAACCACTACGCTACCAGAGAAGAGTGGTACCTAAAAACTGGACTTTTTTTTTTTTTAAACTATGTACGACATAACAATGCAGACCTCAACGACACAGAAAGAAAAATGACTTTGTTTTCCACATTTCTTGCTGACCCCACAAAGAATAAAATATTTTTCCTCAACAAAGCAGGTCTGCTGGCTGGGGTCTTGGCTAATGCTCTTGCACATATATATCCTTTTTGGATACGGTCAGTAGGAGTCAGAACTGACTAAATAGCATACAGTAGCAACATAATACCTAACCCCATTTTTTATTTAAGTTTAGCTTATTTCTTTTACTAACTCAAATGGAGAAATGGTGGAGTATTTTGCTGAAGAAGAGAAAAGGCTCTTGTGTCTTTAATGAGGTAAAGTGGTGAACAAGGAAGACATGGCAATTTTTCAAGCACCTAATAAAGCAGCAGTGATGATTGCACAATACAGTGAGTGTTGTGAACATGGTTAAAATGACACTTTTTATGTGTGTGTATTCTATCACGATAAAAAAAGCAAAACCAAATATGTTCAAAGTCTTTTCTAGAGTCAGAAATCTGGGTGATTGAGGGCCCCAATGTGAATTAGACAATTTGATAAGAAAATATAAATGTATATGTTGTCTTTGATGGTATTTGCAGATAGGAAATGAGCATTGTTATGTAGGGCCTGTGTGCTCCTTTTGTCACAAAACTGTTGGAAGATGAGGGTGAGTTATTGGAGCCATGGACACGAAAGAGTAATAAATTCAGACACAGGGCAGACAAGGTCAGAGATTCCTTGTGAGACAACGAATGATCTGCGAGGAAAAGTCGCTCTGCGTCTTGCAATTTCAGCGCGTGAGAAGAAAACAGGAGGCGCACAAGACAATAAAAATACAGCTTTGTCCTTCTTTGTGCTCATTTAAAGGGCAAATCTTAAGTGGCCCTCTTAAAGCAGCCAGGGGACTCAGGCCCTCAAAGAACGCCTAATGCAGGCCAAGCTACAGACTTCCGAGGTTTAGAGCGCATCGACAAGGCCCAAGACTAGATGCACAGGTGTTCTGGCTTCTTCCTCCCTGAAGGCCAGGCCAGAGCCAGACGTGATCTGGGGCTATAAAACCGGGAAATTTTTCCAAAATTTAAATCCAAAAGGATTCCTCCTTCCCGCCTGCACTTCCTGTTGTGGCCTTGTTATCCCAGGCTCTCTCCCAAGCCCGCCCGCCTCTACTCACGACTGACAGCGTCTTTAAAATGGGTCTTCTCTGAGGAGTCGTAGACGAACTGCACTTTACTCATCCTCCACGTCGCCTCAGGCCCCTTAGACGTGTTGTGGCTTTCCTACAGAGCCGGGGAGGCGCGCATCAGTTGCCCCAAGGCATTCTCTCATTCCAGAAACCAAGTGGTGGCCCCTACACCCCACCCCCAGTCTACTCCCCTACCGTGCTCCTAGCCCCTTAATTACCTTCACAAAGAGCATTTTGAGCGCGTATGCGCGATCCACCCAAAACACCTGCAGCTCCGACTCGTTGTGACCACAGCGGCCCTTCACTTCAGCCCCCCGGGTCAAGGCGATGTCAGCCTGTTCCGTGATCAGCTGGGAACACAGACGCCCCGCACCCCCTCAGCGCGCCAGGCCCCCAGAGGCTGGAAAGGGAGGCGCGTCCAAACTCCGGGCTGCAAGCTTGGGTGCTCCTTTGCGCGCGCGCGCACGCGCGCTCCCAGGTCCGAGAACATGCGGTTAGATGCTCTACGTGCAGACAGAGACGTTAGGGAAGCAGAGAGAGAGGGGTTTTACTTTCAAAGCAGGCAGAGCGAGCAGAAGGCTTTATAAGCCGGAAACCCCATGCAGCATTCAGGAGCAGCCTGCAGGGGCGCGGGAGGTGGGGGGAAAGGCGGGCAACCCAGTCTTCGCAGGACCTTGGAGGAGGATGCCCTGCGCCCCTGGTGCCCTAGGAGCAAACTGGGAGAGGAGGGGGGAAGGTTCCTTACATCGACATAATTGCTGGCCCACACATCATAAGGTACAATAAATTTAGCTGCAAACTCTGCCATGAGACACGTCGTCCCATTTTCCCGCACCACAAATATATCTTTTTCAGGGTTAGTGGAAAGGCCTGAGAGATTTTCCACTTCTTGTTCTGCAATGATTTGAGCTACTATATCTGCGAAAGAAGCAAACAAAGAAATCCCATTAGCAAATCCGCGCGGCTCGAGAGCAAAAGGTGCTGAGACCGTGTTCGGCAAGCATTAAGATTACAAAGTTCCCAGCCGGCTGTTGAGCGCTCTGACAGCCATTTCTTTAGCCTGGTGCCAATAAACTAGACTCTGTTTGCAGTTAACATATAATTAAAATACAATTTAAAGAATGCAAAAGGCTTGCTTATTTGTAAAGCTGCTGGTCTTTTTTTTACATCTTGGACGTTTACATCAGATTTTGCTTGCTAGTACTCCCACCGTCCAGAACTCTGTCTGGGAATGCCATACAGGTGTGTGGCTAGGGAACTCCCCGACATTGGAGGAGAATCGACCCTCTTCCCGTCCCCCAGTTGACACGCCAGGATCACATTTTGATCCTATGCGAATGGATTTAATATGCAGCTTCTATTCTCTGCAAAGAGGGCACCCCGCCCTTCCGGTCGCAGAAACACTACTCACGGAAAAGCATCAGAAGAACTCCAAGTCGGTCGACGTTGGGAACAGCTTTTGCTCGGAGGTCCATGCTCGTGGTGCAGCGAAAGAGGCCAAATGTGCTGCTGCGGAGGCCGTAGGAGAGGGAATCCCTTAAAGTCGCCGATGGAGCGGGCAGGGGTGAGAGAGGGGAGGAGGTGGGGAGGGGAGCGGGAAGGAAGGTGGGAGGGAGAGCGTGTGCGGTGCTCGCAGGCGACGACTCAGTGTAGAGTGCTGCACCGACAAGCTAAGCACCCGTCAGCTCACTGCGGAGGGAGAAACCGCACAGTGAATGGAGCTGTCCACTCCGTTCGTGCTGAAAGAACCCGGTAGTTTTGCAGGAGTGCTTGTGGCTTATCTTGTGCCGAAGGTTAACGAGGTTTTTAAAGGACTACAATTTTCCTTGAGTCTGTTTCCTGTTCTGCAGTTGCATCCGCAAAGATGAGTCTACCCTGAGAAACTTAATAGCACCCTCAGACTTATTCAGTGTCTCTACCAGGTACACGGTTATTACGTGGTACAGACATGGCATCCCTGGACTCTTGTCTTCTGAAAATGCATCTGATTCGCGAAAGAACACGGTAGAGCACAAATTATTGCTGCTTTGGGAGAAGGAGGGGTTGGCAGGAGTAGAGAGAAGGAAAATGCTATGGCAACAGTTTCCCCTGCATTTGGAGACATCTCTCCCCTGCTCCCATTGAGCTCTAGGGTTTAAAGTTAAATTGACGCCTCCTCAAATGCAGCCCTCAAACACTGCAGTATATCCAGTTGGACTTGTTTTCTTGTGGGTTGTGCTCTCTGGTTGCATGAGTACGGTAAACTCCGGGGTCACCTACCCCCACTCATATTGTTAGCACTTTGCCAAGAGGGATGTATGTGAACCCGCAATTTGTGAAGGTTATCTAGGGCCTCTTAGGACGGGGATTTTTAAATGATGGCCTATGCAATGCCACATAGGTATATAAAAAACAGAACTGCATATGAATATAACTTTAAAATCTCTAGTGGGAAGGAAAAACAAATACTACTGGGCTAATTCCATTTTAGTTAGCTTGCTTGTTTTTTAATCTTTACTCCATATATTAGAATCCAGTTCTTTTTGCCAATAAACACACAGTTCTCATCAAATGTAGAGATTGATGTACAAATATTTCTTTTTTAAAAGAATATATCATTGAGTGAACAAATACTAGCTACATCAGCAACGCAATGTCAGAAAACAAGCAAATTCCTATTAAGGAACACATTGCCAATTATTATCACATGCATTTTAAATTTTTAATATTCCCCACAACCTTAGATGACACACAGGAAGATATACCCTACTGGGGTTGCACATCCTCCAAAACTGAGGCTCAAAAAAATTGAATGACCTTCCCAAATGTCATATGATTAGCTAGAACGAAAATAGAGAAATCACATGCTTTGACTTCATTGGGGTCACCTTTGTTTTTCCTTATATAATAATTTTACTTCAAAATATACCATATTTTAACTTCTATTAAAATCTCTATTTAGCAACTAAATAACAAGCTGAAACCTAAAATCTCTGTTAACTCACATTCTGGAAGCATATAAAATGTTGTTTTAAGTATAAGTGCTTTAAGTATAATATATAAATACAAAATAATTGTATTTGCGGCAAAGTTTCTCTGTATATTGCTTGCTTTCAAACCTATTCCTATATCAATCATTAGAATAATAGCAATTTACACTATGAAGTAATGTTTACATTGAAAGTATATTTTTATAGTTGTGCTTTTATCTTTAATGTTTTAGCCAAACATTTCCCAATAAATTTACCTAAATACATTATATGTAGAACAATAGAAACCTGTGTGATGGATATAAAGTCAATTATTGTCATTTGGGAGTGGAAGTTGTAAAATGATATGCCTTACATTTTGTAATGTTACCAATTATTAGGCATTCATTTTCATTTTAGAACTGGAGTAAATAAAACAGAAAAGAATGTGACATATATCATGAAGCTGTCTCACTCTTTCTTTCCAGGACTTTAATAAGAAATAAATGGTTAGATTTTAGTCCAAGATTCACTATTACTTTCATAACTTTGTGCAGTTTTAGTTTTCTTGCCTAAACATTTCAAGATAATAGCTCACAGAATAGCCAAGCAAATCAATGACTTTAAATGCACTGGAAAGTCAATACAAATTATTTTGTTCCACAGATAATAACTAGATACGTGAATAAACAGAATACTTCGGTGCTTTCAAAACCCAAAAGGTAAATAAATAAAGCAAATGCCATTATACAAAGAGGTACCTACAAAATATTATGTATAATTTCTCTTGTGATGTTATTGTAGATATTCCTACTTTGAGTATGACTGAATCAATTAATAATTATTTAACAATAAGAGATTACATAGGAAACAGTTTTGGCCATTGGTTTAGGAACTTAACTTGTCACATTAATTGATAAATCAGATTGTTTCTTTGAAAATTCTTTCTTTCCATACCTGATCTTAAATTCTCTTTGCTGAGTCCTTGAATGAGTTGAAAGATGAAAATGAAGCACTTTTAATCATTTCTTCCTTCTTAAAACATAATTAACTTAATGCCCTTTTAGGCATTTAACTTGAATAAAGTTAATGAATACTCAATAATTTATTCATATTCTCTCCAGTGATTTTTATGTTACAACATAAAGTTGGATCATTATACCTACAACTTTTATCTGCATTAATTTTATAACTTTCTAATCATCTTGAAAAAAATATTTAAAATAATTAATTAAAGAAGTGATAGAGGAGCATAACTTTTTCTAGAATTTGCTCCATTCTTTATTTTTGAAGTAGGGAATAGGATGAAGAAACTGATATACACATGTACTTTTGTGTGGATGATGACTATGTAAAATTTCATCCAGAATGTCAGAGGTAGGTAAGTATGACCCAAGCTGACTAGCTCTGGGATCTATCTCTAGAGTATTCTTTTTCAATTCATATATTTGTCTACTGAATTATTATTTTAAGTCTTTATGCCATTGAGTGGGGTTGGAGATACAAAAAGTAGGGGGAAAGACCCCTACAGTGTGGATGGGAGAAAAATAACACATAAAAATATGGGAGTGCCTAGCACAGTGTGTTCACAGATACTCAGGGAAATGATAAATAAAGGCTTCTTGAAGAAGATAGGTCATGAAAGAGCGAAAAATTGACGTGGCATGGAAGAATACGAAGGACAATGCAGATTGAAGAAATAGCTATTAAAAATAAGGGATGGTCAATGCCTTATTCACCAAATTTCCATAAAAAATAAATTAGCCCCCCAATCAATGCTTTATGTACTACATAATTTCTACTTTATTTGACATTTTATCCACACTCATCATAACATAGGCAAAAATTGTCCTAACTAAAGTGAAACCTTTCATGTTTTTATGTGCATCTCTTTCCACTTGGTTGTACAAGCACATGGCCTGATCTGTAGAATCAAGAAGCAATATTATGAAAGTCAGCAAATAACATTAATTAGAAAAATATATTCATGATGTATGTTTAAAGAAATGGCTGGGTTTTCTTGCAGCTGAAATTTGGTTCATGTTGGTTTCTGTCCACCTTACAGTGACATGTAGAAAAACGCACTCTTGCTCTGCCATCCTCATCATTATCAATGCTACAAAGAAACCACCACAATCCCCACCACCACACACACACATACACACCAATGGAAGAATTGTGAGCACAAAAGCAGGGATAATTTAACCAACCTTGAAAAGATGCACACAACTAGTCATGGCTACACAATGACTAGTTTTGTTGTGTTCAGCTTATTACTGAATAATTCTTTCCTTTAATTTAATCATAGCATTTAAAGAGCCTTGAAACCCTTTCTAGAATAAAAACCATTTGGAATAGAAACAAAAAACTTATTTGCACAGAAGACAATTTTGTACATAAATTGCCAAATCCTAGACTACTTGGAAAGGATCAGAAAACTGATTACAAAATGCAAGAATATTTTAAAGGAATTAGAAAATTGAATTGAGCATTCAGCCTGTGTAACCCTTGTGTATGTTCCCTCACTTTTTAAATTCACTGGTTTCTCCAGCATCTTATTTGAGAGTAATCAATGGCAGAAATAAGGCAACAGAAGAATGGAGCTTTCATTGAGAATGTTCATGCTACATCCTTAAGAAATGTCCTTTAATGTGTTCATTTAGAATAAATGCCTTCATATATGAGGGGAAAGTCTTTAGAACACTCTGAATACGTGGATGATAGGAAATCAAGTAAAATTTTAAATCAAAGAAATTATTCTCAACTTTTAGACTAGTATTTAGCCAACCATTTTGGTCAGTTGTAAGTCATATCAGAATTAATTTGCCATTGACTACAATTCATAACTTTTTAGGCCATGGAGTACAGTTCACCTTGCTTTCTTGCCAAGGGAAGCTTTATTGTTTAGAGGAAGGGAACCACCTTTCTGTAAGGGTCATTTAAGACAATATTTTAATCTTTGAAGACATCTTCTCTTCAAGATATACCAACTAATTCAATGGGCCACAAGTTGTGGTTGTAACTTGAATTCTGAGATAATTTAATTTCTTAAAATCTGGTGTCCTCTTGTTCTCAATTAACTTCTAAAGAAAAATCTATTTGAAATTATCTGCATATGAACATGCAGATTTGTTGGGATCCAAAGATAATTTATATTGATGTCCTTTGGTGGGTTAGATCTGAACAATTATTTCACGTGAAAAATGCTAGGAATTTCATAATTAAAATTTAATATATCAACGTGCAGAAGTGTGCGCTGGTCAAGGCATAAGGCCTGGGGCCTGCAGCATTACCTTTGGGTAGCAAAGACAGGTGGGCCCAATTGCTCAGAACCTGCTGGAACTCCAAACCCTGACGTCTTTAGGCGAGAAGGGAGATGCGCACTGCTGCGGATGTCTACCTGCCCACAGCCTGAGCTCAAGACGTCCTCCGCCTGGGAAAAATCTCAATGTCTGCAACCTTGGTGAGGTTCCCGCACACAGCGCAGTAGGATTGGAAATAGGAGAAAAAAAGTTCTTTGGAACAGC